CGTATTCATGGCTTGCAACCACGTGACAAGGCGGCCATGTGGGTGGTGTGTTGGTGGTCAATACAATAGAATTCTTTCTCGAAGAATTTACACGAAAATAGTTCCCACAGGAGAGAAATGCTTTTGTTCTGGCCATCAATATGGGAGATTTAGGGGAATGGGAGTCAGTCTTCTGTTTTAACTCCTCTTCTCCCCCTCCCCCTCCCCCAGAAAGGCCTGATACGCAGAATCACCTAATACTCCGGCTAAAAGGGCAGTGACTTTTGGCCTAGCTTTCCTAAGTTCTTAGTAGAGCGTACCTTATTACACGTGCCGTTAAGTTTCTTTAGAACAAGATCGGTAAAACGACTTTGGAATTGAGACACTTTTTTAAAGATGCTTTTCTTTTTTGTTCATAGTGATCGCAGTGGAGAAACAGTGACTGTGATGTTAAACACAGGTACAAATGTAAATGTCTCCGATAACAAGAACAAAAGTACGCCGCTTCACTTAGCTGTCAATCAAGGTAATGACGCTGGGGTGAGGTCACTGCTGGCGTCAAGGCATTGCGACGTTAACTGTCAGGTGAAGATTGCTTTTGCTAATAAGAAGCTTTCAGCCGGAGAAACCCCACTGCCCCCCCCCCCCCCCCCCCCAGGGGAATTTTTTTGGGGGGGGGCCCCCCCCCTCCCCCCCCTCCCCCCTCCTTTCCGCCAAAAAAAAATATTTTCCCCCCCCCCCCTCTAACCACGCCCCACTCTTGTTAAAAAGACGGAAACCACCCACACCACAAAAGCAGGAAACAAAAGAAAAACAACAAGAAAAAGAAAAAAGCACCGCCCTTCATTAAGCTGGCAAAAGAGGGAATGGCGGGGGGGGGGGGCCCTGCGGGGCGCAAAGGAATGGGGCCTTTAATGGCAAGGTGAAAATTCTTTTTCCAAAAAAAAACTTTTCACCCGGGAAAACCCCCCCCCCCCCCCCCCCCCCAACTGGGAATTCTTAGTGAGGGTGTGCCGACCGGTTCTCCCAATCCTGACCCTATTTCAGACCAAAAAATGTCATTTTCCACACCCTTTCTGAGACCAGGCCCTAGTTGTTCAAAAGCTGGATAACGCTATCCAAGCAAGAAAGTGAAGTCAAGATTAGAACGTCAAGGAAAAGATTTCTTAAAATGCATTTCCAATTCTCTTATTAATTCATACACTCCCGTAGTTCCTTTGGAAACCATACCTGACATCAGACAGAAATGGGCCAAGTCTATAAGCCTTTTTTAGACCGAAAGGGAGCAAAAACCCTACCCTTTAGGGCAGCACATACCTCCATAGCTTATATAAGGGAGTACCCCCCGGGGGCCTTCAGATACACCGCCGTTTCTGGTGCACGAGTACGCTTAAAGGTGCCCGCACCCATACACGCAAACCTCTTTTCCCAGAGAACGGCTGAGCGGCCGGGTATAACGAGTATAGTCCCTTTTATACTAATAGATGGCAAACGTATACCTTTACCCGTATACGTACCCGTTAGCAGAAAAGGTAATCTTAATCCTTCGCAACCGGTGTTTGGGATGTCCCGCTTCAAAAAATGGCATACATTTTAAAAGTGGCTGTGACCCTCCTTAGGGGTTAAGGGAGAGGAGATTTTAGAATGCAAAGGGGGAACGGAGAAGGGGGCAGATAGAAAGGATCTCCCTTCGCTGTCTTCCCTTTTCGCTTCTCTAACTTTCTCTCTTCCCCCTCTCCCCCAGAAACGCCCCATATTCAGGCTATGGCTACGAAGAAGACTGTAGAGGTCACTAGAACTGCGGGATCATCTGTTTACTTATTCTTCATCTCGCAGTTCTTATGTGTGATATTCATATAATTGTCAAGTGTCATAAAGTCCCTCTGAACTTAAAATCTCTTTGTTCAAAATGTGACTCTAATTGTGAATGGTTTAAGCCCACTATACCCTGGGCGCCAGAGACTTCTTCTGTGCGGTTATCGGTCTGTCTGTCAAGCCTTCGTACTGTCCCGCTCGTTTTTCTCACGGCTTCGCCGCTCGTGGCTTGTGTCTTCGGCCAACACCGAGGATTCCCGCCACACGCGAGAAAAAAAACCCCTGGTACTCAGGGTAGCCCACTTAAGCCCGCATAGCATTAATGAATTTGAATTTAAGTAACTTTCTTGAAATCGTTCTTTCCAGGATTTAGCGGGAGATACGCCGCTACACGATGCGATCTCCAAAGAAAAGAACACAATCGTTGAGCTTATCCTTCGCTCGGAGCGCCTTGAGATTTTTGTGTGCAATGGCAGGGGTTTTAACCCTCTTCATCAAGCCTGCATGAAAGGAAACTTACAGTAAGTAATATTGAGGGACTCTGTCGGTCGATAGTAAGTTCGAGACAATCACCTTCCTCTTTAGGCTCGTGTGTTCCTTCGGTTTGTTCGACTGGAGTCCCATACCCCAGGCAAAACTGCAAACCCTTCAAGTCTGGGTGTGTTTCTAGGTAGATAATTTGTACCTTCCAATTAACATTGTTTTCAACATTAGTTATTCCTAAACGAGAGTTTTTCCTTTCTGAATGCGGTTTTTTACTTTGCCACTGGATAATGACAGGTCGCTCATTAATACTTTTATCAAACCGTTTTTAGGTTTTTTCCGCGGAAAATGAGGGTCACTTTTACTATTTTACTAATAACAAACAAATAAAAATTAAGAGATTCTTGAAATTTGAGGAAAATCGTGCAACACTTTCATATATTTTTGGAAACAGCCATTCGCTCTCCCATCTCGCCCGGCTAACATTTGACGTAAAGATATATTGGTTCAGATGTACTTATCTTTGCCTTCCTTTGTTATTCTTTCCGCTGGACAGCTTAAGACGACTTCTAACTTCAATTATCTCCTTATCGGTTGCAGTGCTGTACAGAAAATCGCAGACAAGTATCCTGGTCTTATTGAGATACCAAAAGAAGATGGATTTACCGCTTTGCATCTAGCCGCGTTCAATAATCATCTTGATATTGCGAGATGTCTTCTGTTGTCGGTATGTGAGCTATATATCCTTGAGGAGTGCGATACATGCGCCGCCCAGTGATCAGCAATTTTGACCATTTAACGCATGCCCATGCAGAACTCTTGTTTAAAACAACTTCGACAGGAAGTCCAAAACAATGAGAAAAAGCGAGAACCTCAGTTAAATAGAGAAGAGAAGCGTAACGTAACGTTACCATGGTAGCAAAATATTTTGAATCTCGACAATCTTTCTTGACAGAGACCTCCATTTGCATTGTGGAACGATGGAAGAAAAGTATGGGCTACCGTTTTGTGTCTGAGAGCAATCACGCACAGGAAATTCATACAATACATGTCATTTTTTTTCGTTTTTTTTCTGACATATTTGCAGGACCAAAAATTTTGCTACCATGGCAACGTGGCGTAACGACTTTTCCTCTCTATTGGCCCCCTTGTAACATTGATGCTAATATGTCGGTCTTAGCTTATCCTAGCAATCTTTGGGTCTGTTTTAATTTTGCGTCACAAACTTCCCCATTCATTTTTTTATGGTGTTTTTATCTTGTAATTGTAGCTTTCCAACTTCTTTCATATGAACCATGGTAGCATTGCAATGTTTGGATTTACTATCGTTCTGACGTAACATTTTGTAAATTAATTATTATTGTAACTGAAAAGCCCGACGATGTATTGGTGAGGTAAAGTCTAGACTAACATTCAATGAATCATAAGGGAGGGGTAGCAATAATTTACTTTATAGTATTAGGTATAAAATAGGTACCCTGTGTAAGTCTACCATGGCGTGTGGGGGTTAAGGATTAGATTTCCTCTGTCGCGTAATTTTTACGTGCGTTTGCACGTACATTTTCTGACTTGCGTAAACATTGTATAGGCAATGTATGGAAGGCCGCGCGTAAACGAAAAAGTTGGGCGAGGTTCAACTCTTAAGGTCATGGTACACGGGACGATTCGCAACGACGATTTTTAGCACAACACAGCGCTGCAATGTTGGAACAATGTTGTAACCATTCGAAACAATGTCGCAACAATGTTGCAACGCAGTGTTGCGCTAAAAATCGTCGTTGCGAATCGTCTCGACTAATATCACCTTTCCGTTTATGCGTAACCTTCCATACAGTATATTTCATTTTCGCGCGTAAATTTTACGCACGCACATAAAAATCACGTGACAGTGGAAATCCTCCCTGAAGGTTTGGATTTCCGTACGTGCGCGTAAATAAATAAAGAGATTGTATAGAAGGTCACGCTAATACGTTAAAGTTGAACCTCCTGGCCTTTCATACATTGCCTCTATTTCATTTACGCTGGTAAATTTTATGTGCGATCGCACGTTAAAATTTTGCGACATTGTAAATCCACCCAGAGGGAGTACTACTCGGCTCTTAGCACACCTTTTTACGTGGTTGATAAGTGGCCTCTCACGCAGATTTATTTGTAACCTCAGGGCCATTGTGATATCAATTTACGAAACAACAAGAGACAAACAGCCCTGGCGCTTTCTGTGTCAGAAGCTTATACAGCTATGATAGAACTGCTTGTTGAACATGGTGCAGATGTCAATGCTGATGATGAGGATGGTGACACTCCATTACATCTTGCTATTATTCATCAGGCTGTGGGTGCCACTGGCTTGAGAGGGGTGAGTGTAGAGGCGTACGGTCACGTGATTACCAAAATTTCTCGGATGGGTAGATTACTAAATTTTCTTACCCATGGTACTCCGCTTCGCGCGCGTGGAGCTCCGCTATAAATTTGAATCTCTATAGATATTTATCACAATTTGTGTCTGGTTAAATATTGTCATTGACAGGTTTCCTTTATGTCACATATTGAAATTTGTTTCAGGCCATTTTAATTTACGTATGAACGTATCTTCAGTTTAAGTGAGGTATTCTTTTTCTTTCTTTATTTTTTTTCGCATTAACTACTCCTTAATATCCTGAAAAGTCGTTCGTCTGCTAGGATTAATAATTATGTATGTATATAACGTCATCACGCCATTTATTTTAAGCAATTGTTACTTCATCCCTGTCACTGTGCATGAAACAAGCAAAGGTCGTGTAACCTCCCCGATTAGCCACTCTTGGGTCAAAAATGATGGCTCCACCATTATCAAAGATGGTAGCTTGTGTCGTTCCGGGCTTGTGGCTCCAAATACCTAGCTGATCTAGACGATACCAGTGAAAATCGACACCTAAAGAAGAAGGAAAATAATTGAGTTTCTAGGAAAATTGTGTTTATTGTCTTGACGACACCCTATGTTTTAATCGACACCGGAATGTCGTGTTAAGTTTCTCAGAAAATACTCCGCTTATGCATTTTTTTTTCAAACTCATTAGGGGGTCCTCCTCCGAGAAGAAAATTTTCGGTGCGGTTGCCCGTAAGGTTTATACATGGTATGATATCTCGACTTATACCATTACGGGCCGCCGTAGAAATATATGTTCGAAAGCAAGTGATTTTTTTTTTTCAAGGAAGAGAAAAGATGTTTTTATCGCACAAAACTGATTCGAAAATCGCGTAGTCTGTATACAGCCGCCTCTCAGCTCAAACAAAATCGCCCCTATTTTGTTTGAGGGGAAGGTGATGCTGTACACAGGCTAAAATCGCTTTTTTTTTTCTTTTTCGCTTTTTAATTTTACAGTGCGCAGGCATTTATAGCAGCCATGACATCTTTAAGTTTCTGCCATTGTTTCATACCAAAGTGCCTTGAACCTTGACAACAGTACCAGACAGTATAGTAGGCTTCCATGTATACCTTCTTAGGGCTTCGCTATGCGTTTCCGCCGTGTTCAAAGGGTTTATATGAGCGTCTGCCACATTTTATACCCTATGTACGAGAAAGTAATTCTATTTTTTTTACCTGGGTTAATGACAAGTGCCACTAGATGTTTTTTCCCACTCGGAACCGGCGGTAGAGGTGCGGCGGGGGGCAGATCCAAAGTTTCCAAATGATCGTTTATCGCTGCATTTCTCATACAGTCAGGGAATTGATACTGGCACCTGACCCCACTCCCCCTCCCCGGCTGGGCGAAGGTATAAGTGGCTTTGTTATTTGCATAGTTGTAGCAGTTGTTGTTTAACTGTGCGGCAAGGATGTCGTTCCAAGGATAGGATGTACTCTCATAAGCGTAACGTTTTCGTCTACCGCTAACTGAAATCGGTTTCTTTGGGGGTAAGTTTTGTATGGCTTTTTGCCCCAGTAGTTTCAGTGGTTCTGGTAGATTTTGTTGAAGTTGTTGTTGTGGTTGTTTAGCAGGGGTTACTGCGCTGATTACTCCGGGGCTTATTTCCTCCTTTAGAACTTTGTTAAAGTATGCTTGCAACATCTTTTCCTTCAACCAGTCTGAAAGAAAACGGAGAAACCGTTTAGAGTAGTGTCGGCGGAAAACTTCAAAGAAAATACAAAATTTGATTCAGTAAAATGCTGAAGAAATAAAGTTATACTTCTTAACATTTGAAAGGTAATACGTAAGGATTTTCAACGTTTTTGTACTTTAAATGAACAGCATCTCAGGAAAGAAAGTTAAGTCCTCTCAGTTCTAAGCCGGATCCACGCCATGAACGTTGCAAGAACTTCATCATTCACGGTCTCAAACATTTCTGCGGTAGAAATGTTCCCAGAATCTGACCAGAATGAACTTCTTTCTCCATAGTCTAGACACATTGTTGGATATATTTTATTCTTTAATACTTACAGATAGATTCGGGTTGAAAATACTGTGACGATAAATACTAATGATCAATTATTAACGTCGTGTACGAAACGTTATATAGCATTTTTCGAAAACAGACCCCTGGCTCCCGCCCTCTCACTTAAAAGTTCGCGCAGACTCAAGCTGAGTTACCCTACCTGCAGGAAGAGTCCAAAATAAATGCTGTTGTAAAGCAAGTGTGCTCTTTCCTATAATTAGTTCCGGTTCCTTCTGTGTTAGTTCTTGAACTAAGAATCCTTTGAACCCAAGTCTTGCGGGCATCATGTTTGGTGAGTAGGTTAAATAGCTTTTCCTTGCTTCATCGAGAAGCTTTTTAATTTGCACAAACTTTGAATTGCTCGGTAGGAGAAACCACTGCGGATCCCGTCTACCGGAGAACACAGCCAAAGTCACATTTATTTGTCCTAAAAGAACAATAACAGCTGTTAGGTTATGTTCACGAATATGGTTATATATTGCGAACATGGCCTAAATTTGCAGAAGGCGCTCAATGAGAACTTACAGAAGAACTTGTGTAAAACTTCTTTTATTAGAGAACCGGTAATTACTCGATGGGTTGTCATGGAAACAAGGTGATAGACTGCGTGGAAGTTGTTTGAAGGGGAAAGGGAAGCGAATTTGGAGTTGTGCGCGCCCCAAGTCCCTCTGATGACCGTAGAAATGACATCAAAATGTTTAAAACTTACTTTAAAAGGCATATTCGAATTTAATTGCTGTAGGTATTTTCTTGTTTTCTTTTTCATTACGTTCAAGTCTTTTCTTGGAAATTGAATCTGAATTTAAAGCCCCTCGAATGTTAATGCATGGTAGTTACCGACAACCTGTTTTATGTTATCTTAAGCGACCTTTGTAATCGTTTTGTCGGTGTTAAGAAAAAAGCCCCTCAAAACAATAGTAAAAGCAAGAAAAAGCGCGTTGAATTTTGATGCGTACTACTTTGAGCGCGCCTTAGCCTTCTTCAGCATTCACCATTGGGTAAATAGTAAACGAGCAGTTGGCCAATCAGTTGTTGTAAACAAAGTTAGTTTGAACGAAAATAAAGGAACGAACAAACCTGATATTCCATTGAAAAGGTGGACAATTAGAAAGATGGTCACGATTTTTAATCTTGCCAACATGTCGTGCTGATATAGCCTTTCTGTAGGGAAAAAAGCCCGCATTTGAGTTGGTTCTTATTTTCTTCGGCCTTTCATAGGGTTTGTTTCACGGCTGTCTAGTTGAGCTGTTCACTTTGTTAATATTAGAGACCTTTAGATTCTTAGACGATTCTAAATACTGAGTATTGCTCGCGCGTGAAACATGCGTCATCTTGGCGGGAAAAAGTGATAGCCGTCGTCATTCTACTGCGAGTTTCAGCGGGAATGTCGTAGTGGCGGAAAAGAGTTATCAGATATGAGTAGTTTTATCATTTTGCGATCGGGAGAGGACTTAACCTCCTTCAAAAAAGATAACTTTTATGGTGAATCGAAAGTGAAGCTTTCCAGGGTATCTATTATTTGAGAATGTGCGAAAAAACTTTAAGACAAATCTCGTACTCGTAGTCGTTCCCGTCCTCTCTAATGCCAACTAGCCTTCCTATTACGCTATGGAAGTTGAGAAATTACTTGTGAATGGACGACGAAACCGCAGCTTCGTGTCAAATAAATATATCTTCCAAGCATTATATCAAACCATGAGAAACGTTCAAACGACAAAACAGAACTGTAAAAAACTTTTAGGCTGACAAAATGTTCTCAGAAACCACTATATTGCAATCCTTTTCAATCCAGTTCTTCAAGTTTGTCCATCCGTACCTCTTCTTGTATTTACTGCGTTATCTATGATACACTTTCCTAATGTTTTAAGCGGTTATTTTTATGTTTCACTCCATTTGCTGGCAGTTCCCGCCGTTTGAATTTTGATAAATTTCGTAACACAGCTCCTTTAATTCGTTACATTTTCACTTACCGTTCTGGTCTATTTAATGTTTTGCTTAGTACTTTGGCATCTTCTAATCGAGCGTTATTCCAGTCTGTGTTGAAAGCATTTAAGGTTTGATTCATGTTATGTCTCTTACTAATGACCTCGATAGGGGCCCAGATATCCATTGACGTGTCTTATTAATAACTGATGGTCATGAGCTGACTTTCGCTGTGTTAATTAAGCGGGAATCAAAGTAAACAAATCTTCTAAGAAATCAAATCATTTCTCTCGGGGGTGTGCCGATAACTGATTATAGTCGAGGCGGTAGTTGATAATCGAAAATGTTCAATCTATTATCGCGGGAAAAATATAATGTCTTGTTGGCAAATTAACGTATGAAAACTCTTTTTCTTTCCTTTTTGTGGTCTCACAGTAAAGGAAGAAAGAGAATTTGATCACCCAAAAGAACGGAAAAAATTCTGAGCTCATTGGTCCACAGTCCAAAAACTCAAAAAGTTTGTATTACAATGTACTTTGAGTTTCACAAAAGTAAAAAATAAATCGAATTCTTTGAAACAGATTTTTCCGATTGTAACCGATAATTGATTGGGTAGGTCAATCCGATTATTTCCGATGGTCGATTATGAAATCTCAGCCGACTTCCAACACTAGTTATTGTCTCCTGTCTTTTTAAGGGTCGAAACGTTTTTCGAATGAGGAGGAATATAATTCGTGACGGCCGGAGAGGGGAACGTTTATGTGTATTTGCTGGTACCAACTAATGGAAACCTTTCTTCAGTCAGTGTCTGTTGGTCACGCTACATTAAAATGAATGATTATTATTTACAAAGAAGGTTGTTAACAAATTTCACAACTAAAATGTTTTGTCATGTTTGCACAAAAATATTTTGCTGGTCTAGCAAGAGCTGAAAATATTGGCATGGTATCTGAAGGTGTTAACGAGAGAAACACATCTTTGAGGAAAAGGGAAACATCTTAATATTCCGGGTACCCGTTTTGTGCTTTGTTTAGTCCCTAATGCTTCATTAGTGCCAAAAGAATGGAAAGATCTTGTGAAATGTTTTTCTATAAATGGGTTTCCATAAATTTCATTTTCTATTCTTCGGCTTGACTATGATTGTAGTTGTTAAGTCTAATTTCGATCTAATTTGTTGTTTTTTTTTTATTCACACCAAACCCAAGAAATAAACGAATTGTTTTTAAATTGATGGCTAAGTTCTAACCTAAACCCATTTACCTAATACTTAAGAAATTAGCGAAAAACCGAATTAACCCTTTCACTGCCAGAGTGAATGCTGGAGTTCCTTAAGGCAGTTCTAACTTTTAAGTCTGTGGACAAAATCCCATGATGTAACCACTTAAATGAACCCTCTCTGCCTGTACTTTCAAATGGTGCTATTTGTTCTCAAAATTTTACAAAACGAAATTGGGGAATTTTTGTTGAATTTTGCCCTTGGCCACACTTGGCACCGAAAGGGTTAAGTTCCAACTTTCCCATGCAGTCGATTTTTAACTAGCACAGAAGACAGACGACGTTTCTTGAAAAACGGCGTCAGTGAACGTTGTAAGTAAATTAGCCAGCGATCACTGAAACACCGACTTAAGGTTATGCAAACAATTCGAAGTATTCTTTAACTGAACGATAATATGGGTATACATTAATTGAAAGAAATAAGTTAAACAATGCAATGTTTCACTAAGGGTGAAGAAGCCCAATGGGTTCCCGTGCGTTTAAGGTCTTAACGCAGTCTAGTCTGCCAATGAACGTTCAGTGTTTCGATATGGATTCAACCCTGAAACCGCGCCTCGCAATTGGATTAATATTTATTCTCGACAAGACGTAGGATGTAAGCAGTTACCGGGAAATTTCTAACAAGCAGGCATCTCAACTTAACATCCGTTCCTTGTCGTATTAATTATGGATAAACATGATGTCCCCGCACATTGATCTTTTTATTGTGAAAAAATTCTGTGGGAATTCCAACCAAGTGCTAATCACCAACTGTGAGACTTAATTTACGCAAATAAATTACTCCTTAATGAAAAATCGCAGCTTAATAGAAAGGCTTTATGAGTTGTTTGTAAATAAAAGTCAGAAGCAACAGAGAAATTTTGAAATCTGAGGGTCTGAACAGTTTAAAAATATTCGGTCTATTCGTACCTTTTATTGTATCTGGTTCCTTTATGTGAGTGTTAATTCACTGTTTTAAACGGAATACGTTAACTTTTACAGTATACGTGACTCAATTTAGGCACTTGTGCGTAATGGCTTAATTTGGATTTATTGCATTGCATAACCACGTAAGAGTCTTAATCGAAACGTCGAATAACGTTTCTTTTAATTTTTCTCGACATTTGTCTACATCACCATTTTAGTGTTATGATGACAACGACTAGGTCACCAATAACTGGTTGCCCCTATAGATATTTGATTTATTTTTCTGAGTGTTATTATTATTTTTTTGTATTCTTTCTCACTGATTCAGCTGTTGCAAGGTTTAGGACTTAATCTCCCAGCGGGGGCTGAGACAGATCAGCACACGGGCTCAGCTATAGCAGTTTATTTGGTTCTTCATGGTGCCAACGTCAGCTTTTACAACCACGAAGGAAAAACTCCTTTGGACCTTTGTCAAGATACCCAGACTGCTGCCTTGATTCAGCAATTTGCAAGAACTGCACCGAGGTGTGTGGCCTGCGTAGCAGGCTTTTGTAAGCAGTATGAGCTCAGAAAAGAACGGGGCGCGCGGGTGAGACACTTGATGAGAGAGGTCCTTTCGCGCGCCCCGTTCAGTTTTGCTCCCATATTAATTACAAGCGCAGGATACGAGGTGGGGAAATTCGCATTTACTCTATGTCATTTCACTGGCTCGATCATCTCTCATACCGGGTGGGGCATCTGTTGACATACAAGAACGGTGATTTCGGTACAATTTCTGTAACGGAGCGAAGCTACGCCGCGTCGGTCTTGCAAACTAAACATCACATGGTCGGATAGGTGTGAACAGGTAATCGGACCGTAGCGTGAGTAAGTAAGTAGGAGCGAGAACTGGAACCCACTAAAACCGAAGTAACTGTTGAGAAGTGAGGATTGAGATTTAGTGTAAGTACCAATCCCTCTCGGCCGCTTTGGTACGATGTTCGATGGGTGTGATCGTTTTATTCCTCTTCTCTGCCGTTGCTGTTCATACTGTATCGGATAGCTTTCATGTCGGCATAAAAAGCTATTTAGTCGAAAGAAAATAAAAAGCTATTTAGTCGAAAGTCGAACCTGCACTAATTGCCACCTCTCCACAACAGCCATTTCTCTACAACGGCCATTTTTTGGCGGACAGTTCATACAT